CATTCATTAAGCCATTCACTGGGACCCAATCCAATGACCACCTCATGAATTCTAACTTCTGCCAATTCATGATATAGCGCGACCACTTTGCAATGTCTTCTTCTTCTTCTTCTTCTTCGATGAATAACTGTCCTCACGTTCAAGCTGTTGTGCGCTACTGGTCACAGCTTCTCACTAGAACTCCAGGTAACTACCTAACTGAATAGAACCAGTCGCGAGTGAACAACAGATTAATTAACTTTCTTTGTTTTTTACAACGACCTACTTTTCTAAGAAAAATAATACTGATGATAACAGTCTTTATTCTGGACAAAAAATGTATACACAATAGACACGGTATTCCTTACAGCATACCTTTACTTGCATAATATTTTTGCTGTTTAACTAGAATCTTCAAGTATAAGTGTATAGTAAGTAATCTCTATAGTGCATGCCGTCTCATATGACACAAGGCTATACAGTCTTTGTAGCATAATAAACTCCAAAACTTTACATGACATTTTTCTTTCATCTCTAAGATGTGCTTACCTAGAGCTTTTGGTTGACAGGTAATTAAAAAGTGTGTGTGTGTGTGTTGAGTACACACAGTTTTCAAGTCAAGGACATTCATTCTTATTTAATTTTATCTATCCAATTAGAAAGAAAATATTTATTTTATTTATTTTTTTATTTTTGATTACAGCTTGATTCCACACCGTATTTTTGGTACAAGTATGGAATTTTCAGCGTGGATATCGGTAGCCCAAATTTCGCAGGCCGACCATAGATATCAGGTGTGCGTCGGCGTGGGCTCGAACCCTGGACCATATGCATGGTCGGCGAGAGTCCTAACCACTGTGCCACCGACGCATTTTTTGGTCACAGGGTTTAGGCATGAGCTAACATCGGTTAGAAAACCATTGAAAAACCAGCCACATGGGGGGGGGACTGGACAGCTGTTTCGTCAGCCTAGTTTTGAACTCGACTTCAGCATTACGCACCCACATCGTGGAGTTAGAATCCTGGACCTTCTGATTGTGCAAGGCTAGCGGGCTCGTAGACCACTGGGCCAATGAATTCTAATTTCTGCCAATTCATCATGTTGCACGACTGGTACTAGGCAATGTCATCGTTGGCGAGTATTTGTCCTCACACCCGACCTGCTGTCACACCTCTACTGGTCACGACTTCGCACTAGAACCCACTAGAACATGATGCATTTTTTGTTGATGAATAGAAATTCTGCTGGCTAAGTGATTCAAATAGGCTGTCAAGTTAACTTAAACAATTTTATGCAAGAATGCCTATTATTTTACGTACATGTACGTAAGTCTTGCATAATTATATGATAGAATTAGTTCATGTGGTGGTAGTCTGTCTGTCTGTCTGGATTCAACATAGAACTTGGTACCAAAGTGCACCACTTCGAGTTGCCACGTTCCAAATAGCACACACACAAAGGTAGACAAGAAGATGAGTGAAGAGAATCAATACAGTCTGACAAGTATAAGAGTGAAACAGAATGAGTAATGGTAGAAAGGAATATGAAAGATTACACAGACTTAATACATCTGCACTACTGCCAACGATTTTGAACCATGTCACCTATTGTCTCCAGCCATTGATTCTTAGAGTCCCGAGGGCCCCAACCCAGAAGTCTGCATCTCCCTACCTACCTGACTCAGTTTAACTATCAAGGATTTCATGGATTGATGAGGCCATGTTTTTGTTTGGCCACCACTTACTCTTTTCCAACCTGCACCTATATTACTCAGATAGTAATGCCCGTCGGGGGAGGCGGTGGTTAGGCATGCGCACCACGTGACCGACCTAGCCATCTCAATCTATGTAACTTTATAGCCTCGTCGATTGATTTTCCCTCTTCGCCCAACACTCTACCCCTAACGTCAACATTACTTACCTTGTTAAACCACCTAACGTGAGAAAGAGATCGCAGACATCTATGATCGAAAGCGGTCAACCTTTTCATGTCTTCAACGCGTATTGGCCATGTTTCAGAGCCATAGAGAAGGACGGAGCGAACTGATGAGCAGTACACACGTCCTTTGGTTGATAGCCGGATGTCTCGCCTACGCCAGAGATGGTGTAAGTCAGCGAAAGCAGCTCGAGCTTTTCGGATCCGTGCTGAGATTTCATCGCCAATCAGTCCGTTGGTGCTAATACAACTTCCCAAATAGGTGAAGTGGTCAACATGTTCTATCACTTCACTCCCTATCACACTAAGCTAGGTAGGAGTTGACGTAGTCCAGTCCTGTAGCAGCATCTTACATTTTGCAGGAGCGAATCGCATGCCAAACATACAAAGATTGCTGCTCAAGGTGTTCAGAAGACTCTGCTGGATTTTGTCAGCATCTTCCCCTAACAGGACTATGTCATCTGCGTATATCTGTGGTGGTAGTGGTGGTATAAGGCTATCATCGATCAAAGGAAGTGTGGTGTACTGCACTGCACCAGTTCACTCTGTCCCTACTTATCGATGTGAAACATGGCCACCACTGAAAGTGGAAGATATAAAAAAGACTAGCTATCTTTCATCGTAAATGTTTGTGTTCTGTCATCCGTATCTGGTAAGTTTTGTAGGTCGATCGATGAGGGAGTGAAGCCACATAGATTGAGATGGTTAGGACATGTGTCGCTGATGCCTAACCACCACCTTCGTTGACAAGCAGTGTTTGCTGATATAGGATTAGGTGAAGAAAGAGTTAAGATGTGGCCAATTTAAGACCTGATATCAACTCATAAAGTCGTCGGTAGTTAGTCTGAGCCATTTGAGGAAATGTAAACTCTCTGATTAGGTTCTTCGGGATGATAAGCATCAATGACTTGAGACTATTGGGGATGATATGGCTAGCAGTCATTCTCAATGCTGCAAATGCATTCACTATTTATGATCTTTCCCATATCGGTTAAATCTTACTATTCCTTCTCCATCACATTTTTGCTGATTATACTATTTTTGAATCTCTTTTTTTCTCTAAATTTGTGTTCTACATGGAGTGTGGCAAATTGAACTGCTCTACATTTGAGTGCAAACTTCAGTGCTGGAACTCAGTCAAACTTAATATTGGTTGGAAGATTTCATCATGAGCTGACATCGGTTAGAGAACGACATCCGTTTCGTCCTAGCTCGAGTCTCTTCGTCTGTATACGCCCACCGGGGTTCGATTGGGGAACAGTGCCCAGAAGCGTACAGCAGGTCGGGTGTGAGGACAAATACTCGCCGCGGGTTACATTGGCCAACAGTCGCGCCATACCATGAATCGACAGAATTCGGAATTCATGGGAGAGCCATTGGATAGGGTCCCAGTGAGTGGCTTAATGGTCAAGGAGCTCGGTAGCATTGTAACCAGAAGGTCGTGGTTCCGAACCCTGCGGTGTTGGGGAGTACTGCTGAAGCGGAGTTCAGAACTAGGCTGACGAAACAGCTGCACAGTACTCCATGCAGGTTTTCCAATGGTTCTCTAACTGATGTTAGCTCATGGTGAAATCCTCCAACCAATGAAATCACTTGTGTTGAACCACACACTTTACTGATAGTCAGTGCATATACGATACGGTGGTGGACAACTCCACCAGACAACTATTTAGAATTATCAGCGAAAGAGGTGGTAAAAGGCAAATGATAAGTAAACAATCTCTGAGAAAAATGGCACCATAATTAGCTCTCAGTATAGATTACTAGAACGTTGGAAAGAACACTTTGAGGAGCAATTCAACTGGCCTACAGATATGCTCAACTTACTCAGCATCCAACACCTCCGTCGTTAACTGGGGTTACAAAAGCTGTCACTAGTCCGAAACGACGCAAAGCAGCGGGACCTGATGGAATCACTCCAGAGGTGTTCAAGGACGATGGAGACAACTTACTTTCTGCGTTAACCAAGGTATAAGGCAGCTTCTGGGAATCAGAGATAGTTCCACCTAGCTAGTGTAAGTCATTGATTATTCGAGTTTACAAGAAGGCAGATAAGTCTTCCTGTGCTAATCACAGAGGGATTAGCTTGAGCACTAGGCTCAATAATCATACATGGACTAAGCGGTCCACGGGAGGATCGAACACGAGATAACCAGGCAGGCTTTAGACCAGGAAGAGGGTGTATTGATCACATCGTCACCCTTCAACAGATTCTAGAACATAGGCATACTTACCGGCGGCGTCCAGCAATTGTCATATTTCTTAACCTAAAGGAGGCATTCGATTCTGTCGACCGAGAGGTACTCTGGAGATGCTTGACTGTGAAGGGAATACCTAAAAAAACATTGCACTGATCAAGGCACTCTACCCGAACTCAGGCAGTCAGCCAGATGAGAGTCAACGGCGAGTTGTCATCTGAAGCGATCGATCTCGATGACTTAGAATATGCAGATGATACAGTCATTCTAGATGAGGACTCTGATAAAACGCATAGTCCTCTGAACACCTTAAGCTGCAATCTGGGAATGTTTGGCATGCGATTCGCTACAGGATGCTACAGGACTGGACTGGACTACATTTACTCCTAGTTCAAAAATAGGGAGTGAAGTGGCGTGTTGACCACTTCACTTATTTGGGGAGTTGCATCAGCCAACAGCAGCTGGTTGATCACTGAAGAAATCTCAGCAAGGATAAAGAAGGCTCGTTTAGCATTTGCAAACCTATACCATATCTGGCTGTCAACGAAAGAGTGTATGTACTGTTCAGCAGTTCGCTCTGTCCTACTTCATGGCTGTATAACATGGTCATTGAGAGTGGAAGACATGAAAAAACTAGTTGTCTTTGATCATAGATGCCTGCGTTCTATCTCCCATGTTAGCTGGTATAGCACGGTAAACAATATTGAGGTAAGGCTTCAGTCGAGTGCTACATAGGAAAGGAAATCAAGTGAAAATGGAAGATATTATGAAAAGGTTATCTGTCTTTGATTATAAAAGTGTGTTACACCCAGAACCGTAGGTAATAATGATAAATAATAGTAATAATAATATATATATATATATATACGTTTCTTCCGGTGACTTACAGCCTCATCAGCTTCGTATAAACAACATGCTAAACCAAGTGGTGTTGTCATAAACGATTGTAGTGATGAAGTTTTAGAATCAATCGTATAGCTTTGAGAAAGATGAATCCCTGGAGATGTAGAAATCGAAGATGGTGATGATGATGATGATGATGAAGATGGAATTTTCGATGTATTCTCCTCTTGAGTATAACAATGACCATGGATACATGAACTACAGGATGAATTCAATTCTTGTTTAAGATAATTTACTAAAAGTGACACCAATTTATAGTTTCTAGAAAAGTAAAGAAAAATGCATGTGTGAAGATTTTTAATATTCCACTTCATTTAATAAATAGATTTCAGGATTTCGTCATAAGCTGACATTTGTTAGAGAACCATTAGAAAACCTGGGAGTACTAGACAGCTGTTTCGTCAGTCTAGTATGGGACTCGCCATCAGTACGCACCCACCGCCAGGGCTCGAGCCCAGGACCTTCTGGTTACAAGGCTAGTCAGCTCGTAGACCATTAGGCAACTGAGACCCAGCCGATCCAATAGCTGTCCCATGAATTCTAACTCCTGGCGATTCACGACATAGCGCGACCCCTAGCCTATGTCTTCTGTCGTGAAATGGCAGAAGTTAGAATTCATGAACTGATCATTGTATCGGATCCCAGTGGCTTAATGCCCCGGTGGGTGCGTACTGCTGAAGATTCCTAAACTAGAACGAAACATCTGTCCAGTACTCCCAGCTGGTTTTCCAATGGTTCTCTAACCAATGTCAGCTCATGATGAAATCCTGAAACCAATCAAATCCCTACAAACTGACACTTAAATAGATTTCAATTATTAGATTTTTGTCAAAAACCAATATCAGTTAGAGAAAGATCACTGAAAAACAGGGAGCACTGGACAACTAGTTTTGTAGTCATAGTTTGGAACTCTTCACAGGTACACATCTATGATTCCGCTAGGGGCGATCAAGCATAGCCCAAGTGACTGAACAGTCAACGAACTCAGTCTCATAACTTGAAGGTCATGGGTTCAATTCTTGGCATGGGTTGTGGATGCACACTCCTGAAGAGTCCCATGAAAGGGCGAAACAGCTGCCTAGGCCTCTTTAGGGGTTTTCAATGATCTCTTAAACGGATGTTAGTTCGTGACGAAAAATAAATAGCAACTAAAATTAATCCAAAATCCCCACAAATCTTGTATCCGTGATATAACGCTACTCTGAACCAACACCTTTGATAAGCCAACCAATGCATCTTGATATGATGGCCACTTAAATGAACTGGAGCGGAAAAAAACTGTGTAGTCACACTCATAATTCGCTTGGTCTTATGAGATTGGTTATATTGTCAAAAGTTGATTTGTAAGGATTAGATTTGTTTTTCGAGTTTGACCAGCTGGGGGAGTACTCAACCACTATTTCATCAGCCTAGTTTGCGAATTATCGGCATTACACACTCACCGCCAGGGTTCGAACCCAGGACCTGCTGGCTACAAGGCAAGCTCGTATACCGTTCGGCCACTGGGACCCAACTCAATGACCAGCTCATGAATTCTAACTTCTACCAATTCGTGATTTTAGCAGATGACATTTATTATTGGTGGTTGCGCTAAAAGCATGAAATGGTAGAAGTTAGAATTCATCGATCGACCATTGAATCGCATCTGAGTGGCTGAATGGTCTACGAGCTTGCCTTGTAACTAGAAGGACATTGGGTTCGAAACCGAGTGGGTGCGTACTGCCGTTCGACCCCGAACTGGGACAAAACAGCTACTCAGTACTCCTTCACTGCATTTGTAAGAACGGCGAAGTTAAACTTTCGACACCACTAACTACCAATCAGCGAATTATCCAATGAGATTCACGAACGATGTCGAATTATCCAATGAGGTTCACGAACGCAGTTCAATGTTCTATAGCGCTTGATTCATTTCTAATGCGTGACCTTACAAAGCTATTGTTGCAATTGGAGGAGGTTAGCGTTTTCCAGTATTTCCTGGATTTGAGTTGCGCCGGAAAGAGCGAATTTGTTTGTGTGGTGGTATCATGACTTTAAAAAGCTATACCAAATCAACCGATGGGTTTGTTCATCGTTGTGCTATATGTTTGAAGCCTACTAACGCTGGAGAGAGTAAGCTGATAATTTTAATATTTCGTAGGAACTTTTTTCGGTAGGTCGCTTCTCTCCCTAAGGATAGCAGATAGAAAAGCAACTACTCTTATACCTATTATTATCAGACTTGTTAAGCGGGGGTCAATTATACACACCGACAAGTGGAAAGGCTACAATTCACTGTCATCTCTGGGATATATTCATCATAGAGTCAACCATTCAAGTGATTTTGTGGATCCCGTTACGAGGACACATACAAATTCTATTGAAGGATTTTGGGGTAGGTTGAAAAATAGGATAAGGGCTATAAATGGATCTCATTTATGGTCATTTGGATGAATATATGTACAGGATATGGTGTAACTTCTCCATTGACAGTCCCATGCTAAACTGGGAGATGTTTCTGTCACATGTTCGAGAAAGATATCCCATGTAACTTTTTTATTCTTTATTTTATGCTTTTTTCTACAAATATACATTTCCATTCATCATATATGCCTCTTTAATGTGACTGGTCCGTTCAAGGTCGTTTTCTGATTGGTTGTTAGTGGTGTCGAAAGTTTAACTTTGCCGTAAGAACAATACCTTCTTTGGAACTGTTGGTAACTTGGTCTGCTTTGATTTTAGATTCATATTCTTATCAATAAACTTTTCTGGATGACCATTTTCACTTAGCAACCGTTTAATATTATTAAGTTCCTCATCAAGACATTCATCCGAGCAAATTGCTCTTGCTCTCTGAAGCAAGCCCTTTATCAGATTGCGTTTGTATTTCAAGGGCACGAAGCATACGTTTAACCTTCAGAAAGTCAGCAACCAATCAGAAGACTTTTGACCTTCAGAAAATCAACCACCAATCAGAACCGTCTCTATTAACAGCTGATCATAAATGTGGCTAAAAATGTAAAAAAATATGGTGTATTTTCCTTAATAAAAGAAGTCCGTTACCAAGTCTGTTGTCTACTTCCGTTACAGCATCACCTCCAACACCACTACAAACATCCAACTACTTGAAATGCCGCAAGGAATAAAAGAAAAACAAAAAAAATAGATAACAACCACTTACCCAGTCATTACAGAAAGTTGTAAAGCATTAAAATATCCACAAACAGCATATCCTCCTTCCAGACTTTGATGACATCGTGGATTCAGAATAATCATAGGTCGATTGTAGCCATCTGATGCAGAACTACTACTCTTACGATCATTATTATTACCATTATTATTATTATTATCAGTGTCATTCCCGACAGATGGAGATTTGAAATACCAACAAGCGGATATCTTCCGATGAGCATCAATCGGACAAACATCAGAATAGATGACGCTCGAACAATCATCAGGATCAGATGAAGATTGTTGATTAGATTTATCTGACTTATCATTATAAGTAGGTGGACTACTCGTCTCTTGTTGCATACGTTGAATAGGCTCTGTTTGACTTTGACTTGTTATTCGCATAGCTTTCATTTTCAATGTTAACAATTCATGTACAGCATTCACTTGTCCATGGATAACGCCCAACAGGAAAGCAGTCATATGATGACAGTCCAGTTGATCAATACTAATAAAAAGGTAGAAAAAGGCAGAAGAAGAAGAATAACATGCTATGAACTGATAACTACTTCTATTGGTTGTATGATTATTGGTTAAATTAGGGCGGGGGGGTGGCGATGGAGAAAAATCTAGAAGACGTGGACTTCAATAGCGCATCTTTATTTCGTCCTCTTCTCTGCAATCCACTTTACCTGGCGCCACGATTGCTCATAGGCGTTTATCTTCACCTCACACGATCTCTTCCATGTCACTTTTGGAGCGACATCCAACTAGTTGTTTCCCATTCGAATTCCACTCCAACGATGGTGTAGTAGTGATCTGGGTCAGCCAAGAGTCTCTTCAACGTGTTTCTAATCCAACAATCAACTTTACCGACAAACCGATGGGGTCGCGATGGGTTCGCCTCTGGGACCTATCCTGGCTGATATCTTCATGGGCTACCTTGAGCAGACACAACTAAGTCCTGCTATCAATGGAACTACCTACTATCGCCGATATGTTGATGACACATTTGTTGTTTGCAACGATATGGATCACGCATCGGCACTATATGATCGCCTAAATGAGATACATCCAAATATCAAATTCACCATGGAATATGAACATAATAATGAGTTCAATTTCCTGGATCTAAATGTAAAAAGAACAAACGAAGGCACGGTCGAAAAGTCCATCTATAGAAAAGAAACCTGGACTGGACAATATCTTCACTATAACAGCTTTTGTCCCATAAGCTATAAACGTGGATTAGTGAGGACTTTGTATGACAGAGCCAGAAAGCTATGTTCACCAAACAGGGTCGAAGAAGAATTAGTTTTCGTCGAGAAATGCCTAAGGGAAAATGGATACCCTAAGGGATTTATTCAGAAGTCCAGCAGAGAAAAAGATGAGAAAGAAAAGCATCCAACTGTAGAAAAGAAAAAAGTGTTTATCTGTCTACCATACAAAGGAGATGCAGTGTCACAAAAGATTGACAAAAGACTGAAAGGTGCAATAAATAGAAGCTTCCCGGCAGCAAAACTCATAACAGTATACAGCACCACTCCTTCTTTAATCCACTCAAAACTGGATAAATACCCTGCTGATGTCACCTCCAACTGCGTTTATGAATTCACGTGCACTTGCGGGAGCAAGTACATTGGAAGGACAGAAAGAAGGGCTTCTATCCGGTTTTCTGAACATATTCCCAAAAACCTGTGCCTGAAAGGAAGCAGATATTCCCAGAGTGCAATTACCAGACACATTATTGATACCGGACATCTCGTAGAGATTTCTAAGTCCTTCAAAATATTAAATAGACAAAGGACAGCAAATTTACTACGATTTGCCGAAGCAATCGCAATCAAAAGACTTAAACCAGACTTATGCATACAGAAAGAGAGTGTGATTAACCTCTCACTCCCTTGGTAACAGAATTTTGATTTTGATTAGTCATCTAATTCAGTGATCTCAACTCACTGAACAAATCTTAATCTCATAAACTGTAACCGTTTTTGTTTCTTGAGTTGCTATGTGAACCTAAAAGCTAACACTGTTCTGTTAATCAATTTTTTCTGTTTTCTCTCTTACCCCTCCCCCTCTTTTCAACTTTAAAAGCGTATAAATTGATGATGAAAACTTAAACTAAAAACATTGTAATGCTTTCATTTAGATGCGTCAATTTTATAGTATCTCTTTTCTACCACCACTCGAACATTAAAGTATGTTATTATCATCTATATAACCATTGTAATTTCAGGTAGTCTGCAGCTGATGAGAACCTGTGAAATAGAATGATATCATTTTGTACTGCAAATTTCGTCTTCCTTTCTTTATCGAAACATCTCCATTTTCTTCGAAATATTTGTTGGGGGCAATAGGTTCCTGACTGGTCCATTCCCCGAGTTCCATGTTGCTGATTTCTTCTGAGCAAACATCCAACCTTTAGTATGGAGCTAGTAAAAACAGCTGTTTATAAAAGAAGTCTGCACTAACCTGTTGGAAACACTTTCCTGGATGTGTTCACCGAATTTCTGATGTAAAAAGAAGAAGAATTGACCGACCAACTTAACATTAGTGTTAAAAATCCGAACCCTGTTACATGTCACGAGTGCAGGAGATTTCTAAACTAATTTCAGAGTGATGGATGTCTACGTTTGCTTCCACATACTGGTCATGACGTCCTCATGTGTTTCGACAACAAAATAAGAACACGGAGTTTATCTGAAACGTGTGTAATGTATTGGCGCAACACATTTCGGACATTCTGATCACACATGAGTACTTGCCATACACAGTTTTTATAGAATGCAAAAGGGCATGAATAATTACAATACAGATCAGACTGTTAGCTGATATATATATATATATATGTCGCATGTCGAGCACCCAGTGGAGAAAGAAATTGGAAAAGTTTATTTTTATAAAAGATATTTAGATGACATAATAGTCATTTGTGATAAACCGACAGAAGCCATAGAAATCCTGGACCAGATCAACAGAGCACAAAACAGTATATCGCTAACATACGTTAAAGAGAATAATGGTTGCCTGCCTGATAGGATCCCACATATTTTGGTAGTGACTGTTAATCTTGTATATATGGTATATTATCATTCTCACATATTTTGGTATTGACTGTTTAATCTTGCATATATGGTATGTTATCATTCTCACACATTTTGGTATTTACTGTTAATCTTGTATATATGGTATATTATCATTCTCACACATTTTGGTAGTGACTGTTAATCTTGCATATATGGTATATTATCATTCCCACACATTTTGTTATTGACTGTCAATCTCGCACATATGGTATATTATCATCTCTCACGCACTTTGTTATTGGCTATTAAGATAAATTATTTCAAATGCCGTTAGCTGTCCATATTGTTGTAAAATGTATAAATACCATGGCTTTCTTTATCGTTGTGGCACTTCAATACACAGTCACAGTCCAGCCTTTGTCTTTTGATATTTGCGTGCTTCACTAAGTCGGAAGGTACGACAAGCAGATAGGCAGATTAGTTCAGGCGCAGACAGAGCAAGGTGAAAACGTCTTCATTCAATTCAGTGCAGTTATAACACTGCCATTTTTAAATGCAATCATAACCAGCCGAGAAGATGGGTCAGTAAAACGACCTGTCTACAGAAAGTCAACATGGATGGAACAGTATCTAAATTATCAAAGTTTCTGTCCACTACAGTATAAAAAGGCGTTGTTTAAATGTTTGTTCAAGTGCATTCACCGTATATGTACTGCCGATACAACTGAAGAAGAAAGACAACACCTGACTGAAATACTGTTAGATAATAATTACCCACTGAGATTTATTAGACGTTAAGGAAGTGTCAACCATAGAGCTTTACCAATCCAATCAGCTCCCAAACAGGATGTTTACATATCCTTGCTCTTCTGAGGTGATCAACAAAGTCTAGTTACTAGACAAAGACTCAAAGCCGCAACTTATCTTCTGCATTGTGCGCGATGTCATTTGACGGTCTCCTTAACGTGTGCCCGATCAATCCATCCCCATTTTCTCCTACATATCTGTTGAGCAATTGACTCTCGCTTGTTGGTTTGTTCCCAGCCAACCAGAGTTTCTTGTCGCTAATTCTTTCTGGCCGGCCAGCTGGCCAATCGCACTGCACTCATTAACATACAACCAGACAATAGCATGGTGGGAGAGGGTTACAATTCTAAATAGTAATCTAGGTAGGTGGGGAGCGAGGGAGATGGATTACTGAATCCTGCCTTGTTCATCGAGTCTGCACCCAACACATGCAATAGGAATAATTCATCACTCATACCCGAAATATGGAAAATACTATTACCAATTAAATCAAGCGATGAAAAATAATGGAACTATATAAACAAAGTTAGGAAGTCGTGTGAGTAGTGCCTTGATATGATTATGAGTAGCAATAAATTGTGTTCGAAACGTGGTCATCACTAAACATTAGTGTATAACACTGTGTGAGACTTTATCAAAACAAATTTTACTCATAATGGAATTAAAGTTTAAACAATAGGAGAGATGGGGTGGGGGTGGGGGGGTTACAGGCTAGAATTCAACTCACCAATAATAATATTTGTATAAAGCTGGTGATCCATCTGTCATTCGACACGAAAATAATCCACAGCAATCTTCATTTGCCATAGAATGAACATTTCTATCGAAAACTCTATCGATCACTTCATCAACGGGACAATTTCGCCCAGTTGATAACAACAATTGTAAGCATTTGAAACGACCAAAAGCGCAGGCAATGTGTATAGGTAGAATACCCATTTCACCACCGGCTAACGGAACATTCATTGCGCCGGGATCCCACTAGTTAGTTGTGTAAAGTTTTTTTTTAAAGAAAAGAGAGAGAGGGAAAATATATCCAGAATTATATATACCACATGAAACGACTTATATCAGCCTACTATCTCAGCTGAGATAACACCAGACTAATAGGAAGAGAAATAAATCATCATGAGTACGGATGCTCTTCACAAGATGAATAACTACACAAAAGTCCTCGCAGACTTATACGCCTTCAGTGATTCGGTAATTGTAGGCAGCATGTACTAACTAGTGTAACAAAAAAAAACAAGAGCCAGGCAAGAGATCGTTTATTAAGGAAATCAACAAATATTTATAGATTTTCATACACATTATTATAGACTATTGTTAGCAGAAAAACAGAGTCTTCTGATTGGTTGTTTCTCACTGAAAGTTAATCTTTCATCTCTTTATGGCTGTTTCTTGAATTTCAGATCATCTACATGCTAACTGTATCCGCCTACGCAAAGTCTGCTGTGATTAGTTGTCGAGTCAGTCTTTGTTCTTGTTTTCACATGACCAATATTTGGGACATAAACATTGACGTAAATTACTGTCTACCAATTTGGCTAGCAGCCAGCTCTCACCACACTAGCAGAATCATATGAGACAAATGAATAGTAATAACGGACAAATATAAGGCTTCATTGAGTATTATAAGTTACAAGGAGTGGATGCATCTGCACCAGCAATTGGGAACGATAAGTTTGAGCCATGTCACCAATTTTCTCCAGCCTTCATTGGTTTTTATCGTCCTGAGGACCCCGACCAGTCAGGAAGCCAGTTTACACCTTGGTTTAAACTAACTGTTGTGGATTTCAGCTAAGACTGCCCGTCGAGGAAAGCGATCGGTGGCCAGGTATGAGGGACACATGTCCTAATCATCTCAATCAAAGCAACTTTACAGCCTTGTCAATTGATTTCCCCTCCCACCTACCTAGAACTCGACTGATGCGTCACCTCAATATTGCCCACCCTATTAAACCACTTCACACGGAAGATAGAACGCAGGCACCTATGTTTAAAGACAGTCAGCCAGGCTTTTCATATCTTCCACTCTCGCTGGCCAGGTCTCATAACCATAAAGGAGTACGGAGCGGACCGCTGAGCAGTACACACGCCCTTTGGTCGACAGCCACCCAGCCGGATATCACGTCTATTAAGCCAGAGACGGCGTAAACTGGTATATGCGAAACTAGCTCTCTGTATCCGTTCTAAGATTTCGTCAGAGATCAACCCGTTGGCGTTGGCTGATGGTACTTCCCAAATAAGTGAAGCAGTCAACGTACTATACCACTTCACTCTCTATTTCTAATCTAGGAGTCGCTGTAGTCCAGTCCTGTAACATCATCTTACATTTGACAGTAGGAGCGAATCGCATGCCAAACATTCGTAGATTGCACCTCAATGTGTTCAGAAAACTCTGCTGGATTTTGTCGGCGTCCTCGCCTAAAAGGACTATATATCATCTGCATATTCTAAGTCAACGAGACTATTATTCCCTGGTTGTAATAAGTCAATCCCTGAGTCTCTGAAGTCAGCAGTTAGGGTTAAATCCATTAGTACACCTAATTCAGCGGGCCTACCAGTAGCTACTAAAGTCCGGGAAGACAGACGGACCATATGGAATTCCCCTCAGTCCGAAGCACTGAAAACAGACTCAGAGATTGCAGCAGATATACTCATGCCACTAGAGTAAAAGTTTGCATTCGTCCTTCCACTTTTGTAAGCAGCACCACACCGCGTGAAGGTAACAAAAATAGAAAGTAAAGTATAAAAAAAATTAAAAGCTGTAAAGTTGAAAAAAAAAGTCAAAAACACCAACTAACCAACCAACACTGTCTCACCTGAATTATTGCTTCAACTGCCTCCTCATAGCCTAAACGTACAGCAGCGTGAATAGCACTCTCCTCATTTGAGGCTAACACCGAATCAATCCATAATTGTTGTCTGCGTACACAAGTGGTCTTTTCAACTAAAACTTTTAAATCATTGACAAAGGATGATGAACAGTTAGAAGTGTTCAAATCATCATCATCATTATTGTATTTTTTATCAATATTGAATTCTCTGCTATCAGATTCTGATGATATAGGCGGCGGCTGCAGCGGCGGCAATGCAGATAAGATAGAAGCAGAATAAGTGGCAGTGATTGGGATGACTTGAAAACCGATTTTTAACAATTTTATAAGACATTGTATGAAATTGTTTTTTACACATCTGAAATGAAATGGGAAAAAAATGGAGAGTAATTCATTAGTGCACCTAAGTATATAATGCGTCAGTGGATCAGTGGTAGAATACACACCAACCACGTCTCACGTGATCCGGGGTTCGAGCCCTGGCCGAAAAAAGCACTCCTATACATGGTTTAGCCCGATTGAAAGAAAAAAGCTTGGGCCACAGTGAGGTTAGCAGTCACACTCTGTTAAGAAAGAATGACACCACTGTTATTCAAATATCAAATCTCAAGTAACTCTATTAAGAATAAGATTTTATTTTGATAAATCACACAGTGTTGTTAAACAGTAATATTAACTGATGACTACGTTTAGAGAACAAACTATTGCCACTCATAATCATATCAAGATACCCGCAACATTTTTTTCTTTCATTTTATATACATGTGAGGAATCGATTAGGTATTGGAATAAAAATCAATATGGGATAATGTACATTCAGAAATAATAATATGATTGTTATTGATCAATTACAATCAGATGGGAAATAAGACGAGTGTTTTTATAGTCAAAGTAAATAACTTCTTAGAATTATTGAATTGAATTTTTGATTTTCCCGTCGATTGATTGGACCGAAGTGATCGGTCTCAGGCTGACATATCGCCTTCTTGTGCAGATGCTTCGACGATCTCTGGGCATTTAATTAGTATACAATTGGTGGATGGTGCCTAGCATGTCCAGGGTAATGCGAATTTCTTCCTATTCGGGACTCGTCAGCCAGCTGGATGTACCTGCATTTCCCAGTCAGTGAGTGATGATGTTCCCACCACGGAGGCTCGAACCCAGTACCCATAGTTTCAAATACCAGCCAAGGCGTTATCCACTAGACGACTTGGGCCATGAGAGCCACCTCTCGTGGGCACTGGGTTCGAGCCTCGGTGAGAACATCATCATCACTCAGTGTGAAATGCAGGTACATCCAGCTAACGAGTCCCAAGTAGGACGAAATGCGCATCCTGGACTCCACTGCTAGCCACCATGCATCAAATGTAAACTTCTCAGAATGTTGTGAAATGCTTTAATTGAAATAGAATTTCAAGATTATTTATTATCCTCCTCTGATTTGACTGGTGGTAACAATATCTTCCATATCTCTGGGATTAGCGATGATGAGTCATTTTTGTTGCATGTGTTGTGTTGAGTGTAGACTCAATGAACCAGGATTCAGTAATCAATCTCTCTCTCCACCTACACAGATTACTTCTTTGAAGCAGGCAGTGCTATTGCTAAGCTTTTTTTCTAAATTACTTATCTTCACGGGTGGGGGCAATCATTCTTACCTTAGCTAAATTCTTATGTTCCGATAATATGACTATCCCCGACCTACTAGTTTGACCTATATAGTTGACCTCACAATCATTGCAAGGTATTTTTTAGATTATATTATTTTGTTTTATTTGGGTCAACCTACAGGGTCCTCTAGCCTACATAGCTTGTCCTCGCTGAGTGAGTTTTTAGGTTTGAATGCCACCCTAATTCCACCTTTATTGAGAATCCTACGCAGGGTCTCAGATGTCCCCTCCTTATATGGTATAACTGTAGATGACTTATATTTTCTCTTATTTATGTTATCATTACTAGTGTCACTATTATTTTTATTTTGCTTTTGGCCTTTACTGATCTTCCTAATGAATTTTATAGGATAGTTATTCAACACTAACGCCTCTTCTATCTGTTTTATTTCGTCATTTAGGTCTTTTTCTGTGCTACTTAGCGCTATGGCTCGGTTTGTTAGACTCTTAACTAAGCCTGCCTTAACCGTTGACGGGTGAGATGAATTAAAGTCTAAATTTCTATTAGAATGACTTGGTTTTCTATAAACACTAGTGTGTAGTTTGCCTTCTTCTGTTTGTTTTATTTTACTATCTAACATCATGCCTAATTCTCCTTGTTCATTTTCCAATTCAAATGTGAACTGTATTCCCTCTACTAATGAGTTTATATATGTCAAGATGCTAGACAGAAATATGTTCTGTTTTTAACACTGTGTGTGAAAGTGTCATCCATATATCTCCACCATATTATCTTTCAAGTAGGATTAAATGTATTAAGAGCAATATTTTCCAAGCTTTCCACAAATATATCTGCTAAGATAGGGGATACTGGTGATCCATCGCATTACTACACCTTCTGTTTGTCTATATATTTTACCTTGGAATTTAAAGATAGTAGATGTGAGGTATAATTGAATCTCAGGCTTGAAGCCCCATGTTCCACTCGTAATACAAAGAAGAGGAAAATAAAAATGAGTTCTGAGTTCGCGTCTCCGCGCAGATACCACTCACTTACTCACTCACCCATTAGGATTGCGGGTACATCCAGATGAAGAGTCCCAAACAGGACGAAACACAAATCCTGGATTCCACTGTAGTCATCATCAACCAAAACAAATTCACATTAATTCTGAGATATAATCAAAGAGTCCGTGCTAGGAGCGCGTGAGAGTCAACAGAAACACTGAGCATTCCGGTCCAACATAATGAACCAACAGGAATTCAGATTAACCTAAACACACAAATGATGATCGATACCCGTTACACAAGAGATGGCTGTCATGATCCTCGTGATCTAATGGATAGGGCTATAGTGTTTGAAACAATTGGCTCTGGGTTAGAGTAACAGTGGGTATACCATAGCTCTCTAAGTGGTGTAGGTACATCCTGATGACGAGTCCATCTAAAAAGGGGAGAAACGCGAATTCGGGATTCCACTCCTGGTGGCTATCAACCAAGATAGACTCTTGTTGAT